GGGTGCCATTGGGTTAGGATTGATTTGAACTGACAACCCAGGGTCTTGTCTCCCTCTTCATATAAACAGCCAACCCATTTCTGAAGCAAGGGCAGTGGGGCCTTCAGGGTGTCAGAGGCAGGGTGTGTGCAGGGTGTGGTGGTCCTGGTGGGCTCCTGAGCTTCACCGGAGCAAGAGCATTCTGCTGTGCCTTTTCACTCTTCTGCTTCCTTGCTTTCCTTGCCTGCCTCTCAGGGAGATGGCCTCCTCAGGAATCTACAAGCTGGATGATGGGAACCCTTACCTCAACAACTGCTTTCCAGCCAGAAATCTGCTTCGCGTCCCGGAGGAAGGTCAGGTAACTTCCCAAATTGATACCTTTCCTCACACCAAGTTCCTGCTTTAGACTGTCTCACATCTACTTCTTCTACAACCCCTTCACTACTGTCCCCTGCTCTACCCAGTCCTTTCCCCTCAGTCCCAGTAGCCTCTGTGGGACTTCTAAAGTAAACATGGTACCGTAGTGCCCCTTCTGTTCAGTGACTTTTCATTGCTAACTCCTTTACCTGGCATTCTGTGTCATTCTGAGTTTAACTTGCTCTTATCCCCTGTGACAACCTATTTCTTTATTTATGCTCTATTCCATGGTGCTCTCTTTTCACATAGCTTTGTTATTTGCCCTGAATGATCCAGCCCTCACCCTTGTTAGCCAAACTCTTCCCATCCCACAAATCCCAGCTTTTCTCCTACTTCTTCCAGTAAGCCATGTCCGACTACCTTAGTCCTTAGGGCTTTTCCTCTCGTGAGCTCTCTTCCTGTCTGTATTACCTGTTTGATGAGTGATCATAGTCTGCCAAATCAAATGGCTTAAACTCAACTCTGCTAGGTAGATTTTCAAACATTTATCTAGTTAAAAACTCCTCTGGAGCAAGCAATTGTCTTAATACTCAGCAGAGACCTATAGGTGGAATGCTAAGAATGGGTTCTCTGGATTGGATTTGTTGCTTTGAAAGGGTAGGGCAAAGAAGAAGTATACCTTGTCTACTCCAGATGTTGTAACTTGTTGGTCACTCTGTACATGGAATATTGAAAGAACCTTCTCTTTCTGCCGGTCCTCTCTGCTTTTCTAGAGTGATTTTATTTTTCACATAGAGACTTTCCCTGGCCACCTACCTGTTAGACACCTTCAAATGGAGCTATCAGTGTGAACTCATAGTTTCTCTCTTTCTCTCTCTCTCTCTCTCTCTCTCTCTCTCTCTCTTTCTCTCTCTCTCTCACTCTGTCTCACACAGACACATGTAGATGGATAGATACAGAAATAAATATAGTTGTGTGTATCTATATGGATTGGTGTACATATGAATATTTCCTAGTCCACTGACAGCAATGACACCTCAGCAGCAAAAAGCATACCTGGCATCTAGATCTTGGTTTCTAAATACCATTCTCCAATGAAAAGAGCATGGGCTTCTTGGAGAAATTGTTTGCAGGACTAGGGCAGTAAAAATACAAGTTGAGTTGGAATATCTTGTGCCAGAAGTAAAGAAGTGCTCAGGAAAATAATGGGGAAATGCTGAAAGGACACAAATGACTTGAAGGTGCTCCCAATCACCAAAGCTGGGACAGTTTGAAGAATTAAATAAATGGTGGAGTTGGGTTGTAGACCATGGAATAAATAAATATTCATGAATCTACTAATATAAATAAATATTTGAATGTGTAAATATATGGGGGAAACAAAATAGCTCTTTTTTTGAGATAGAGTCTTTCTCTGTTGCTCAGGCTGGAGTGCGGCAGCACAATCTCAGCTCACTACAACCTCTGCCTCCGAGGTTCAAGTGATTCTCCTGCTCCAGCCTCCTGAGTAGCTGGAATTACAGGGACCTGCAACCACGCCCAGCTAATTTTTGTATTTTTTATAGAGACATGGTTTCAATATGTTGGCCAGGCTGGTCTCAAACTCCTGACCTCAAGTGATCTGCCCGCCTCAGCCTCCCAAAGTGCTGGTATTACAGGCGTGAGTCACTATTCCCGGCCAGCTCTTTCTTATAGTTGAATTCCAACTAGAAAATGTAGAAGGAATGAGGGAAATAGAAAGTCATTATTCAAACACTACAATAATAATTTTTGTAGGTAAGAACTGTTATAGGATGTTGTATTAGAGTTCTTCAGAGAAACAGAGTTGGTAGAAGATAAACAGGACTAGTAAGAGATAGACAGGTAGGTAAGTAGACACATTTTTTTTTTCCCAAGGAATTGGCTTTATGTAATTGTAGGGGATGGCAAGTCTGAAATTTGTAGGGCAAGCTGGCAGGCTGGAAACCCCTGGGGAGGAGCTGAAGCTGTAGTGTTGAGGCAAAATTTCTTCTTCCTCTAGGAAACCTGTTTTGCTCCTAATGTCTTTCAATTCATTGGGTGAGGGCCACCCACATTATCAAGGATAGTCTCTTTTACTTAACATCAACTGATTGTAAATACTAATTACATCTACAAAATACGTCACAGAAACACCCAGATCAGTGTTTGATTGAATAACTGCATGTTATAGCTTAGCAAGGTTGATGCATAAAATTAACCATCACAGATAACTAGAATAACTGGTTAAAAGTGTGATGAGAAACAGGATATTTGCATAATATCAAAATATGTTTACTAATTACAAAGGAAAATATAGTAACTTCTCAGTAGAGAAACCAGGCAGACACCACCTTAACCAAGTGATAAAAATTAACATCACCAGTAGTAAGGCATATTGCCATCATGATCCTCCTGGTCTGATGAGCTAAGAAAGGCAAGCATCACTTCTGTGGACATTTTGGCAAAGTGAAAAGCCTTAATCTAATGGGAAAGCATCAAAAAAATTCAGTTTGAGGCATAGTTTTACAAAATAATTGACCAGTACTATAAAAATATTATGGTTACACAAGAAAAAGAAAGGCTAAGGAACTGTCAAAGATTAGAAGAAACTAAGGAAATATGACAGCTAATGCAGTGTGACCTCCTAGATTGGATCCAGGAACAGAAAGAGGACATGAGTGAGAAAACTGGCAAAATGGAAAAAAAGAGGAGTACATTAATAAATGATATTGTACCAGTGTTAATATCTTAGTTTCAATAATTGTATTATGGTTATAAAAGATGACAACATGAAGGAAGCTATGTGAAGACTGCATGGGAACTCTGTGTACTATTTTTGCAACTTTTATGGAAGTCTAAAATTATCTCAGAATGAAAAATTATGAAGAAAACCCCCAACTCCCCATGGATTTCCTTCATGCTAAAACCCAAGCTCCTTAGTTCTCTGGACCTTTTGTGATCTGACTCTGCTGATCTTTTCAGCCTCATCTCTGTCGCCAGGCTGGAGTGCAGTGGCACAATCTTGGCTCACTGCAACCTCTGCCCACTGGGTTCAAACTATTCTCCTGCCTCAGCCTCCCAAGTAGCTGTGACTACAGGCGTGTGCCACCACACCCAGCTTTTTTTTTTTTTTTTTAGTGGAGACAGGGTTTCACCAAGTTGGCCAGAATGGTCTTGATCTCTTGACCTTGTGATCCGCCTGCCTCAGCCTCCCAAAGTGCTGGGATTACAGGTGTGAGCCACCGCACCTGGCTAGCCTCATCTCTTTTCTCTCCTGTTGATCTCCTGACACACTCAAAGCCTTCCTTTCTGGCCATGTTGGGGGTTTTGGCAGCAACTCAGACTGAGGTCCCTGGGAGTTAGGGATATGAAGATAGGATAAAGTAGGAGCAAAGTCCATGCCCCAGATCAGGCAGGCTTGGGAAATGGGGTACCTGGAGTATTATGCCCAGAATGGGAATGGGAAATGGCCGATATGAGACATAGCAGGGACTGCATCCAAGAAGCAGGATTGGCAGCAGGACAAACCCCTGAGGCAGGGATAGTGGGCTTCCCCAGAAGACAGCCAGTGGTTAGAGGCACAAAGCTGGTTCCTACAGCACCCTTTATGTTATCATTATACTATTGTATATAAGATATAAGATATAAGGTGTTATATATTTTATTATTATGACTCCTTTGAGTTAGGGCTTCCTTTTTATTCAATCTCATACTCCCAGTTCCCAGCATAAAGCAGATGCTCAGAAAAGATTGGAATGGATGACTGTGTGGGCAGGGGCTATAGGACAGAGTTCATTCAGTCATTTGTTCAACAACGGTCACAATGTAGTAACCTCTGTGCAGACTTTGGGAATATTGAGATGAATGAGTCAGATAAAGTCCCTGCTCTTACGGATCTTCCACTCTAGAGAGGAAGACAGGCAATGAATAAGTGAACAAATAATTACAGATTGCAATGAATACCATGCACTAAATAAACTGCTGGTGCAAGAGAGAACAAAGTCCAAAATATGTTAATGATTTTTGTTAGGTGTGCTTACTAGTAAATCTGATACTCTTTTTGCTTATATGCATTTTAAAATTCTTTCTACAGTGGACATAGATTATTAGTTTTTTGGTTTTTTTTTTAGTGCCAACTGTCCTACATTTTCTTATTCCGAGTTTCTAACACCATCTTTTCTGTATACTGATGGAGGTCTGAGAAGATGGAACCCATTGAGTTGAGGTCACACATTGGGCTTTACTCAAGAGATGACCAACAGGACAGGAACTGGCATGCATGAGAAAGAGCGATCAGCTCTACCGAGAGGCAAAAGGGAAGACTTCGCAGAACAGGAAATACTTGATCCTAGTTTTTGAAGGAATAATAGTTTGGAGATAAACATGTGAAGGAAGGAGTTGAGCAAGTCATTCCACCTTTTTTTGTCTAAGCCTTTCCATCTATAAAATAGTGATGGTAACATGTATTTCATTGGGTTTGAAGGCCAATTAAATGACATAGATAGGTAGACATCTCCCCTACCCCCAGCTGTAGTACAGTATCTGGTGCACATTAGGTAATCAGAAGCTATTTTTGGTTTTAGTATTATAAACAAATAGTCTGTAATTGCACTCATTGTAGTTTTGGAGTTTTCCCCTTTTCACTGCTCTAATTTTCTCAACAGGCCGAGGACACTGGTTAGTGACTCGGAAAGGTAACGTCAGGAAGAAGCCCAAGGGTTTGGTTGGAGCATGGGCTGAACATCAGGAAAGCCCGAAGGTGACTTCTTTTGAGTTCAGGGGGAAGAAAGGGTCTCGGCAGGGAAATCAGGTGGACCTTCCTGGACGTATCCTGGACCAGGCTTTTCTGGTGAGAGTAAATGCATCCTGGGGTGGCTGGCACATCAGTCAGGGTGGGGAGAGGGTGGGGAAGGATTTGCCCTGCTCTGGCACAACTACCCCCAATCTACTTCAAACTACTGGCAAATTGAGTACAGCCAGGATAATGAAGGGACCCAAAAGTTTCTTGACATGTAACGCCTTCTTGACATCTACCTAGTGAGATAGGTATTGTCATCCCTTTTGTATTGTTGCTATTGGGCAGATGGAAAAACTGAGGTTCCAAGAGGTAATTTGCCTTGGCTGAGGTTCCACAGCTCATAAATGTCTGATCCAGGATTAGAACTGTGGTCTATTGACTCCAAAGCCTATACTTTTACATTATATGAGGTAACAACTCTTATTGAGTTGGAGAGGCAAAGGAGCAGGTCAGGGGAAACAGTCAATTGAAAATTGCATTCCAGCACCTGGTAGGGTTGAGAGATTCCTGCTCTGCTCTTTGGGGCAATTTCTACAGGATTAAGTGGGATTGGGGAGGTCCTGCTCTCCCCCAGCCTTTGTCCTTTGACTTTAGTGTCTGGCTGAAAACCAGTGAAGCTGACCAGATATTACTTAGTGCCTGGGGCAGGCTTTACAAAGAGGACTGGGGTGACTGTATTGGAGACCAGCCAGGTAGTTTCACATCTGTTCTGTGCAGTACCTCAGTGGCTTTGCTAAGAAGGATGCATTCTGTAAACCAATATTAATGTGCAGTCTGGTTCTCATAGCTCCCTAAGAACTCTGTAGCTGCCTACTTTGTTTCCAGATTGTGCTATGGTTCCCAAGAGATGGGTGTCTGCCTAGAACAGAGGTTGAAAGAGAACTTCGTTGGTTTCATCTCACCTCAAATGGGTAGTATAAGCTTTTTGCAGTCCTGTGGAATCAGTTTCATTATTATGTCCATTTCTCTTTGGGAATGAGGAGGACTGAAACAACGATACTGAGGAGGGGCAGAAACACTTTCCATAGTGACCTTTTTTCCCCCCTTGTTTCCAGATACATATGCATTCCCACATTCAATAAATACGGCTTGTTACCCGTTTTGCCACCGTGGGAGGCAGGAGCAAGAAGGATGTTTTTCAGAGTCATGGGGCATCTACTCTGCTTATTGGATAGTTCCACTTGAATGTTTCATTGACAGTTCATATTGAATGACAGCAGCACTAGCACTTCCACTCCAAATCCCAAAACAGAGCTCTTTTCCAGTATCTAATTTACTCTCTGGTGGCACTACTATCTATCCAATCCCTGAGCCAGTACTTGAAGTTATCCTTGACATTTGCCTCTCCCTCACTGTCCCCACCCCAACTTTTACCAAGTCCCCATACTTTTACTAAATTGTCGTCAAACCTGTCTTCTCATCTCAACTGCCATGACCCTCATCTGGGCCACCATCATCTCTTATTGGACTAATTCAGGAACTTTCTATCTATTGTGAACCAATTAGGATCCTTTTATTTCACATAAAAAGAAGCCAGAGGCATTGTTTAGGGTAGATCAATTTACTGGCTTAATGACATCTTGCAAGATGGGTTCTTTCTGTCTTTCACTGTGCCATCTTGCATGTTACCTCGTCCTCTTGGGCTGATGGCCTTCATGATCTTGAGATGGCTGCAGCAATTCTGGCCATCACATGCAGAGCATAACATCCTGAAATAGAGAAGGGATTGTCACTGTCTAATTTTAGAAGTAAAAAAATGCTTTCCAAAACTGGTTCCCCTCCCCAACCCCAAGTAGCCAGTATGTCATTATCCAGACCTATATCACATGCCCAGACAGTCATGAGTTAGGGGAAAGGAACCTGCATGATAAGTTTACACAGATCAAGACTTATTCCTTGGAGCTCTGGCTTAAGAACATTCTATTTGGAGAAATGTGAATAACATTAGTGTTTTTTAACAAGGAAGGGGTAGTGGTTATTGAGAAAGTAATTAACCAATCTGGTACATTGGTCTTTCCTCTTCCTCTCCTGTCTTCTCATCTACATGATATACTCTGATATGTCCATATGTATCAGACATTACAATTTGTATAGAATTACCATCAGCCCCCTGCTAAAAATCTCTGACAGCTTTCTATTTGTAGGATAAGATCCACACTCCTTTACAGAGCCAGCGTGGAGTCATAAGATCTAATGGCTGCCTCACTAACCTTATCTTGTTTTTCATCCTCTCAAAAGCACCTTGCTTTTCCTGCCTTGGTAGACTTCATAATCCCTACCACCCACTTTTCATGAGACCTATTTAGTCTTAGGTCTCCGAAATATTACTTCTTCAAGTAAGTATTTCCTCATTCAGACTGAGGTTAGGACCTTCTGTTATAGCTCTCATAGCATCTTGAATTTCTCCTTTAAAATATTTATCACATTTATAAATATATACTCGCTACTTGGCTTCCCATGGCACTGTACACTCTATGAGGTTATAGAATGTATCTGTTTTTTCTTCATTGTCTTCCCAATGCCTTTCAGTGCCTAAACATAGTAAGTACCATAAATAAATGATTAACAAAAAAGGAATGAGGTTTGATTAAATGTAAATAGAAGCTTCAAAGCTAAGATTTACCTCTAACTTTTAAATTATGTGGGGTGACATATGGTAGTCAAAAGAGCGTAGAGTTTAGTGATTACAGATTTGGATTAGTAAGATCTGTCACTAACCGTGGGACCTTTGGAAAGGCACATTACCTCTCTTAACCTTGTTTTTCTCATCAAAAAGGGGAAATAATCTTACTTACGTCAAAGGGTTTAGTTAGGATTAGAAGAAAGTTTGTTAATGTATTTAGCAAAGCATATGGCCCAATGCAGTGTTTGGTAAATATTTGGTGAATGAATGGATGAATAATGAATGAATGAATGAACAAACAAGCAAACAAATAATGGCAAATATATAAGATTGCCCAACAAGAGAAGGCTGAGCAATAATAGATTAATTAAACTTTGTAGGGCCCTTAAGAGCCAACTTTTTGTATTATGTTCCAGCTGAAGCACCACTGTGTGAAGAAGCCATCAGATCTGTGCACCATTAATGTGAGTGGCCTGAAGTTCTCCAAGGTGAGGCCAGCCAGCAAAGATGTGATTGGGGTGCACCAGACTTGAGGTGGCACACCTGGCTGTTCTGGTTTGTCTCTTGTACCTCCAGAGTCCCTAGAAACTGGAAATCTGGTCATGTAGAAGGAGGGAGAGGAGGGTCAGACAAGGATTTATTGGGTAAAAACAATACTCAGACACAAACTTTTGCTATAAATTTTATATTGCCCTTGTCCCATTTGATGTGAATTAAGGAAAATTGCCTTATGAAATTGGTTTTGAATTTGCTGTGTCATTTTATTGGTACATAATTCATTGTGTGACACTGAGTTTCCATCACAAGAGCCTACAAGAGACATTTTTCAAGTTTCAATGCCAGGAATTGTAATGGTTCTCCCAAGAAACTGGTTTGTTCCTAACTTGCAGGTACTGTGACTCATGCAATGAATCTTGTTTCTTTCTTTGTGTTGGCTTATAGGCAGCTTGGAGTCATATTTGTGACCCATCACTAGCCAGTGTATATACAGGATTTTATAACATACATCTTTGGTATACAGGCTTTCGTGGCATACCAACGTAGATTACTTGTATAAACCATAGAGTAGGGGCTCTAAGCCACAGGATGGCCAAGGTAGTGGTAGAGCAGACTGCTCCTTTAACAGGGTTCTGCTTCACTTCATTTAGCACTCATATTTTCAGACCTGAGTTACATTGGGACAGGTTAGCCATAGAAATATATTCATCTTGTGCCTGAGAGGCCCTCCATTCTAGGCCAGCACATGGTCCCCAGAGATTATAATATATAGTTCACATATAATTGTGAGACAAAGTGGTAGAGGAAGATTTCAGATATCTCAGTCAATTCAGCTTTTGAGGGCTACAACATGGCTGGCCAAAGCTCAGTCTCCTCATTGGATACTGTCTATTCTTTCATGTATTCACTCACCTGCTCACCAAATATTACTGAGGCCTGATATGGCTCTGTGCTGCTTCCTGGAGGACACAGAGGTGGCTCAGACACTGCCTACCTTCTGGAGTATATAGTTCGGTAGGGAGGGAGGAGGCTGGGCTTAGATGGATATGGAGATAGACATGACTAGCTAATGCAGTCAATGAGGGAAACACGAGAGTGCTGAATATGACCCCAGAGGACAGTACCCTGACTTAGCCTTATATTCAGAAAACACACTCTGAAGAGGGTGGTTGAGACATTGACCACCAGCTGTGGAGGTCTGGCCTGAAGACCTTGACTCAGATGAATAAATGCACTCTCACCATTACAGTGATTCAGGTGGGCTAGGGATGGTCATCAGCTGCATTCAGAGGACAAAATGCAGCCAATTGATGAAGACTCCCTCTCCATGGTTACATTATTCAGTAAAAGGTTTTATAACAGAGGTTCTAAGTCAACACACTTCTGAATAATTAACATGGTTAAAATAGTGGTTATACAAATGATAAAAGCTTTAGGTTCCAAGCCCAGGGTAAACACTATTAGCAGGTCATTCCCCTTTGATCTCACCCTGAGAGGACCATCCAGCACAAAGTTTACATTTGTAAACAGAGTAGAGGAAAAGGGATGTGGGGTAAACAGACAAACTGGGAAAGCCTCTTATCATCCCTGTATTCTCCCTAACTTAATGGACCTGCCACCTTTGGCCTGTCCCAATAAAACTTTTGGCCTTCCAAAAGGTTTGAGACTAATCTATTACTTTTCCTAATATTTCTTTAATATTTTGCTGCCACCCTGAGTAAATCTCAACATTTCTCCCTTCTTTTTCAACAATATCAGGCTTTGTTGTCTGCCGGCCACTGATTCGTTTAGCTATGGAACTATCAGGTGAGGCGGTCCTTGCTTTTATTCCAGCTTTGCATCCTAGGATCAACAAATAACAAGACAACTATGAGTACAGTTAGCAACAGTCTTTTCCGGTTAAAGAGCAACTCCCAGGAGTGGGGGTTTAATCAGGAGAGATGATTTTGCACACCTTTCCATCATTTTTGGCCAGATTATTTATAAAAGCATGTGTTTGAACTGACTCAGTAATAGATGCCACTGCAACTCTGGCTGTAGCCAGGATGACTATGGCTGAGACCATAAAAGCCATAAGTGTAACTGAATTTTTTGTGTTTGACCTGTAGTGTTACTTGGCATTTCAGTTTACTGTATGCCATTACTGAGGAACTTCAACTGGAGGTATGTTAATCTCTTTTAGTTAAGCGGTTGCATTGTTAGAAGCTGTGAAGGGTGTGTTAGTTTAAGTTGCAGGGAAGAAAAATGTAGAAGATGAGCTTGATGGAGTGTAGCAAGTACAGGTTGCAGGCAGAGTGAAAGAATAAAAAATGAATCCTAAGCTGGATTTGCTGAGCCTTTTGCATTGTTCTCTTCGGCATTCATCAGGTGTGGTCCGGGGCTTGTGTGGTTTGAGAAAGCTGCGTCGTTTTGCAGGGTCTCTTTTAGGCTGGCTTAAGTTTTTCTTCTTTCCATCCTTTGATGAGGATGCAGTTTCTTGGCTGGTGCTGGTACACGGGAAATTCTAGGAGTTATGCCTGTGCTAAGAGACTTTTTATAATCTTTGTAAAAGAGCAGGTTAGTGCTTTAAGAAAACCTTGTGCTTTATCTTAATGTCCAGTTCACAGAAAAACTGGATACTTCTTTAACTTTTAACTAATACATTTACACAGAGAATTTTTTTTACAGCTAATGTTTTAAAACTTTCAAAACAAAATTTATACAACCTATTTGCATAAATTTTCTTCTATAACATTTTTTAAACTTTCACTCTCAAACTTAGACATGCTTTGACTTTGTTTTGTAACCTTCCTCACTAAAGGTGCAATCTTACAACTTTCTTAATATTTCTTTCTTTACTTCTTACTTTCTGTTCCTCTTTCTCTTTGCCTTCCTTACCTTTCTCTTTTTGACCTTGTTTTTTTTACACTATCTCTTTCTTTAAAGGAATTTTGATGATATCAGGTTTATAACTTAGCAATTGACTATATAAGTCATTAACATAGCAAGCTGAAATTGGTAACATGAAGTTTAAAAGGAAATTAGCACCTTTCAAAGCAGAGATTTAAAGAATATACTTTAACCTTGTGCTTAAAGCCACAGGCAGAATAGCTTAAATCTTGCAATTGAGTTTTCAGGCTGACCAAATTTGTGGACTTTAAACTGGAAAACTGTTTTGAAAACAGTGACTTAATGGCTGAGCAAAGACTATCTCTAATCAGTGTTTCATGCATATGTTTTCACCACACTCATATACAATTTTCTTTTACTTTCTGAGAATGGGCACAACCTTTTTACTTCTTAATTCAACAAATATTTAATTTGGCTTAAAGTTTTCCTTTAAAGCATAATGTGTTGTTTTACATGCTTAGCTTTTAATTGCTTTTCGACTAATTTGTGGGCCTTTTATAGCTGGTTGACATTTACTTAAATTTACAAAATTAAGGGTAAATAAGACTTGTGCGAGTGTTGCCTTTTAAGGTAGAAAATAGGTTTTGCAACTTATCAGTTAATTAGGCAATTCTTTTCTACCGAGGAGCAAGGCTATATGGCTGGCTTTTAATTGCTCCTTACTAATTCATGGGCTAGCTGTAATTTTTCTCCTTTCAGAGGTTACTGTTTTACTTGTTAGATTTTTAAAAGAGCTATGTTAAAAGTAAGGTTGGAATAACAACAGTGGCTAATATCAGAAAAGGGTTTTACAAATCCTTAAATTTTACTTAAACCTTAGCAGAGAATTATGATTTGGGATGCTGCTTGTATACAAAGAACACATGGAATTTCACTGTAAGACACCTGCGGAGAGGAGGAGCAGCAGCAGCGCTGGTCCCTGGACGGCAGCCATGCTGGTCCCGCCCAGGTGCTGCAAGCTGCCCTCCGCTTGTGCTACTCGCTCCAGCTTCCCAGGAGGCAGAGTTTTCCTGCTGGAACCTTTTTTCCCTTTCACTCGGCTGTGTGGCTCTGGCCTGTAATGCCTTTTTCTTATCTTTTTATCAACATACACCTGATTGCCTTGCTGACCATTAATTACTGGGCAGGCTAAGAGTTCCTTCTGTAATGCTGCTTGCTTAAGACGAGTTCGTACAGCTATAGCGTTTCCCGTGTTTTATTTCCTATTCATTGGCTGCCTTTGTGCATGATTTTTCCCCACTTGTTCCCAGAGCTTTATCTCCAGTGTGATCTTTACCAAGAACTGCGGGCCTTGGGAAACAGCAGTTTGAATTACGTCCCATACTTTTATCTGCTGAGCTGATAACTGCTGTCCTATGATGAATCCCTAACCTGAAACAATGCCTCCCCGAGCTTGGCAATCCCCAGTGGGTACCAATGACTTACTACTTGACCTAACCACACAGTCTTCTTTTTTCCAGTTCTCGGGAGGTCTGTCGTTTCTTCTTCACAGTGCTTGTCACATTGGTTCACTCCATGTTCGAGCACCTGCTGTGACGGGTATCACACCAGGGTCACCACCTGAGATGACCAGGTGGCTGCAGAGGTCTGGCCTGCAGACCCTGATTCAACGACAGCGGAATAAATGCACTCTCACCCCATTACAGTGATTCAGGTGGGCTAGGGAAGGTCATCAGCTTCTTTTAGAGGACAAAATGCAGCCAATCGACCAAGACTCCTTTTCCATGGTTATATTTATCCAGTAAAAGATTTTACAACAGAAGTTCTAAGTCAACACACTTCTGGATAATTAACATGGTTAGAAGAGTGGTTATACGAATGATAAAAGCTTTAGGTTCCAGGCCCAGAGTAAGCACTGTTAACAAATGATTCCCCTTTGATCTCCCCAGAGAGGGCCATCCAGCACAAAGTTTACATGGGTAAACAGAGAGGAAAAGGGATGTGGGGTAAACAGACAAACTGGGAAAGCCTCTTATCATCCCTGTATTCTCCCTAACTTAATGGACCTGCCACCTTTGGCCTGTCCTAATAAAACCTTTCAGCCCTCCAAAAGGTTTGAGACTAATCTATAACTTTTCCTAATATTTCCTTAATATTTTGCTAGCCACCCTGAGTGAATCTCAACAGATGGTAGCTTAGCTGAGACCCACAGGATGAGTGGATACTTGCTAGCTTTGCACTTAAACCATAAAGGAAAATGTTTATGAAATTTAATAAAATTTAAAATATCTGTCTAATAAAAGTTAGCATAAACAAAGGTAAAAGATAAGCTGAGACTGGGAGAAGATATTACCAAAAAGTATTAGGATCCAGAAAAAAAGTCAAGAGCTCCTACAAAACAATAGGAAAAAAAAACCCAGTAGAAAAATGGACAGCAGAAAAATGTTAGTATACAGAAGAGGAACTTGAAAGGCCAGTAAATATAGGAAGAGATATTCAGCTTCATAAGTAAGCAGGAAAATGCAGAACCATTTTACAAGAATCAGACTGGCAAAAATTAAAGTTTTATAATGCCAATTGCAAGGATTTAAAGAAATAGGACTTCTTGTACACTGCAGGTAGGACTGTAAATTGTTTTAACTACTTTGGAGAACAATGTGGTACCATATCACAAAGCTGTGTATTCCCCACAGCTTGATAGGAGTATGTAATTAAAGAAACTCTTCTGAGGAGGTATGTATAAGAATATTAATTACACCATTGTTCATAATAAAATTTGGAGACAGGCTAAATGGGAACGAATAAACTTGTCTTATATTCAAACAATGGAATACTATACAGGAATTAAAATGGTTGAACTAGGGCCAGACATGGTGGCTCATGCCTGTAATCCTAGCACTTTTGGGAGGCCAAGATAGGCAAATCACTTGAGGTCAGGAGTTCGAGACCAGCCTGACCAATATGGTGAAACACTGTCTCTACTAAAAATACAAAAATTAGCCAGGCATGGTGGTGGGCACCTGTAATCCCAGCTACTCAGGAGGCTGTGGCAGGAGAATCAGTTGAACCCAGGAGGTAGAGGTTGCAGTGAGCCAAGTTTGCACCACTGCACTCCAACCTGGGTGACAGAGCAAGACTTTGTCTCCAAAACAACAAAAAAAGTCAAACTATAACTACATCTGTTGACATAAGTAAATTTTAAAAGCTGCATATGCTGGACGTGGTGGCTCACGCCTGTTATCCTAGCACTTTGAGAGGCCGAGGTGGGTGGATCACGAAGTCAGGAGTTCAAGACCAACAGCCTGGCCAATATGGTGAAACCCCATCGCTACTAAAAAGATAAAAAATTAGCTGGGTGTGGTGGTGCACTACTGTAGTCTCAGCTGCTCAGGAGGCTGAGGCAGGAGAATGGCTTGAACTGGGGAGGTGGAGGTTGCAGTGAGCTGAGATTGTGCCACTGCACTCCAGCCTGGGTGACAGAGCAAAACTCTGTCTCAAATAAAATAAAGCTGCATGTATTGATACATAAATCAATATGTATCAGATTACCTCACTGTTTTTTAGGTAAATCTCAAAAACGGTGTTGAGTGAAAAGGCATGTTGTAGAATGAGATCCACAATACTATTGCATTTAATGTGAAGTTTTACTACCTGTATCTAGCATTATATATAGTTGAAAGATACACAAATACACAAACACACATACACACATATATAATACAAGTCTAAAAAAGGTATGGGTGGTGGGTGCAGTGCCTCATGCCTGTAATCCTAGCACTTTGGGAGGCTGAGGCAGATAGATCGCTTGAGCCCAGGAGTTCGAGACCAGCCTGGGCATCATGGCAAAACCCTGTCTCAGCTGAAAATACAAAAAATTAGCTAGCCAGGCTTGGTGGCATGTGCCTGCAGTCCTAGCTACTCAAGAGGCTGAGGTGGAAGGATCACCTGAGCTCAGGAAGTCGAGGCTGCAGTGAGCCAAGATTGTGCCACTGAACTCCAGTCTGGGCAATAGTAGTGAGAACCTTTCTCCGAAAAAAAAACAAAAAAACAAAATTACCAAGTATGGGAATGATAGTCACCAATTCAGGATAGCTGTTATGGGATTAGGGAGGGATACATGGAGGGGAGTGATAATGGTGGTGGTTCACCCTATATAATATTTTCCTTCTTTAAGGAAATGTATTTAAAGCAAAGATAGCAAAATATTCAGCTGTATTAAATACATACATCTGGATAGTGGTTATACGGGTCTTCAGAATGTCATTTGGTATACTTTTCTGGACACTTGAAATATAGTGGGGAAAAAAGCAGGAAAACCCTGTAGCCCTCAACAAGTGGCTGCTCTTGTGCTAAGGATGCCCCTTTTTCCTTTAGGTCTTTGTTCCTTCTGACAGTGGCTTTGAGCTTCAGCAAGGCTTCTAGACAGGGAATTAATCTTTTTTTTTTTTTTTTTCTGAAATGCTTTCCTACAGGCTAAGGAAAATGACTTCAAGCATTTTCATTCTGTGGTTTATATCAATGCCTCAGAAAACCTGCTGCCTCTAGGTAAGCTTTTTCTTTCTTGAAAGCTATCTTCCTCTTCTTAGCCAGCACAGCCATTCACATGTGTTAGGATTTGTCTATCCATCCATGATTGGCCACACATCTGTTTTTTGGAGAGCAATAGGCTGGGTGCTGGAGAGCACAAAGACCTCGATTCTAGCCCCACTGTGGAGCTACCTACTTAGAACATTTTTCTGTGATCTGCTACTTCTCTGTCAATGGGGATAATCCCCTTCTTTTTTTCCTCTTCTTGCAGGATACCTTGCAGGCTTGTATGAGATGGGTATATAAATATGTTTCTAAGCCTATAAAGTGCTACCATGGGAGCATAAAACCTCTGTTATTCAGCAATCCACAGTGACCCCTGCTGGGTATTAGGACTATGTGAATACTTGGCTTTTAGAAATCAGTGCATCTAGTCCTGCTCTGGTGAGCTCGTAGTTTGTTGAGAGAGATGAACTCAGATACAGACAGTTAGAGCAGGATGAGGGGAGAGCAGTGAAAGAGAGAATTAGGAAATATTATGTAAGCATATACGTGGGACTTCAAGCCAGGCCAGAATGTCAGAGGAACCTCTGAGAAGAGGAGCACCTAAGCTGAGACAAAAAAAAAAAAAAAAAAAGAGTGATTCAGGAATTAGAAGGGAAGAAGGCATTTCAGGCTGCTGGAGCAGATGTGGAGTGGCAGTGCCTGATCAGGAGACTGAAGAGGACTTGTATGTTTGCAAGGGATGCATGTAGGGGACAACTGAAACTAAAGAGATTGGCAGTGACTAGATTTTCAAGGGCCAGGAGTGAATTGGACTTAGTGCTGCAGGCAAAAGAGAGCCTTGGAAGGGTTTTAAATAGAGAAGCTCAGCAGCAGCTGTGAGGAGAGTGGATTATAAAAGATGATGATGAGGGCCAGGAAACCTGGGAGATTGTTTCAGGTTTTTAGGGGAGGGGAGCTGAGGCCTGAGCCAGGATTGTGGCAAGAAGAGTGCAGGGGATCGAGAGATTCAGGAGAAGTAGAAACCATAGGACCTGGTAACTGATAGGAATGTAGGGAGAGGGAGGAATCAAGGGGCATTTCATCAAGACAGGGAACACTAGAGAAAAGGCAGGTTAGAGGGAAATGGGTAAGTTCAGTTTTGTTGCATTGAGTTTGAGGATTGTTTTCAAAGAAGCATATGATGAGGTCCCTGCCCTTTAGGAGGCAGTGTGGTCTGTCTGGAGCTTGGGCTTGAAATGCAAAGGCCAAGAGGTTTATGAAAAGGTATTCAACCTCACTAATAATTACAGTGGATCAAGATACTGTTTTCTGCATGTCAATTATTGGCAGAAGTGAAAAGGACTGATGGCAGCCCGCATTGGTAGGGAAATGGATACTCTTGCATTTAACTGGGGAATTATGGTAATTGGATAACATCTTGGAGGTAATTCAATAATGTTTCCTAAATTTAAAGTAGTCATTGCCTTTCCTAGTTTCACTTCCAGGTAATTATTCCGTAGAAAACACTTATACAATGATGTTCACTGTATATGTTCATTCAGAAACATCCTGAAATACAAAGCAGCCTTTTTATTGGGCTCTACTGAACATTCTGACTCACAAGACTACCACGGGCCATATTTAACATCAGGTTCACTTAGAAGCCTCTGAGTCATTCCACACCATTTGCCAGTACAACAGCATCAGGAGTTTCTCTTCAGTGGAGTTCCCCAAAGCCATCCATGAGGTATTCTTTGTGCTCTCCCCACCTGCAGTGTCAGCTCAGGTACAAGACAGACTGTAATTGGGTGGATGCAAAAGCCACCCTGGCTTAAAAATTTCATTGCGCACGGGAACCAGTATACATTGTAACACTTATAGGCATAGCTCCTAGAGTTTTGCAAAGGATATGTCCAATTGTAGGAGTCACTGCACACAGGGAAGCCCAAAATTATGGTGCCCCCTTCAGGTGTTTATCATTCATTTAGTTTCTCCTAGCCCAGATGCAATTTACCAACCTAGGGTGATTTTAACTGCAAGTGATACCACCTGGAAATGCAGTTACTATGCCATTTGTTTCAGGTTACCAGAGGAACAGGGCTAGAGAAAGTTCAGTTCTTTTTTAAAGGGAGAAAAGTTTTCTTTTTATTCATATAGGCTAAAGGCTATTGATAGGAAAATTGATTAGTAAACTAGGATATGTCTATAATGTAGAACATCAGAAGACATTAGGCATATCTATATGTTTTGACATGGAATAATCTTTAAGTCATACTGTTAAGGGAAAAAGCAAGTCAGTACAATGTGTACAGTGTGACTATTTTTGTTAAAAGAAGTATATGTGTGTATTTTGATACATGAGAAAAAGGTGAGTGCTATTATGAAACTTAATACTTGTCTCTGGATGTTGGGATTAAACAGCGTTTATTTTTCTATGATGTTTGACTATTTTTGGTAGTCATGTTTTAATTTTTGTAATCAGGATTAATAAAGATAATTTTTAAAACGAGCTTTGCTGTTGAGCAGACTTAGATTCAATCCTTGGCTCTTTCACTTAACCAGCAATTCCATTTCTGGCAAATCACTTAGCTTGGCTGAGCCTTAGTCAGCCATAGAATGGAAATAGTAATCCCTATTTTTCTGGGTTAGAGATTTAGAGGCCATGTATGTAAGGTACCTAACCTAGTAGGGACACAGTAAATGGTAATTATTAATATCTTTCTCTTAAGTGATTTACACGCTGCAGACACTCTCTTTCTCTTCCCCATGTAGAGGCATTTCACACATTTCCAGCCCTAAAGGAACTGGATCTCGCATTTAATGGCATCAAAACAATCTACGTGAAATATGGAGACTTTAAGTTATTGGAGGTAAGTTGAAGGCAGGGAGTTTTCGGTGCCCACCACTTCCCCTGTAAGGAATGAGTATAGAGTTTTACTGATTTTAACTGTTGGGAAGGGGCTTGCTGGGCCTGTACATCCAGGACCTTGCTTTATTTCTGGCCTCCAGGGAGGGTGGGGGTGGGTGTTGTAAGGGTAGTGATACTGATGGAGGTGGTGGTGATGGTAGAAGTTACAGCAAATAGTGGATGCCAAAGACTTAACCATTGTGCGTGGTCCTGGAAAATAAATGCCGAAGATCATGTCCAAGGGAGTCTGTGCAGACAAGTGAGTTTTAAAACAGAGTGTTACAGGAGGGGAGAGCTTGAAGGGAGATCTGGATCCTAGTGGGGGTTGAGGAGCCATGGAGCTTAAGAGCTAGGTGTAGCAGATTGAACCGGCTGAACTAGAGACATGATAGACTGATTCCAGAGTCTCATCCTGGTCTAAGTGAGCTGGATCAGTCACAGTGGCTGAGGTAGAGCAGGCTATAAGCCTAGTTCATAAGCTCAGAGATGAGTATGAAAGGGAATCCTAAGGGATTAGCAGCAGAGTCTTGAACATTTGTACATTCACAGCTGTTCTCCAAACCCCAAATTAGAATATACAGAAAATTTTGTTTGCATTCTTGGTGTTCTCCTAAATTTTCCCATAATCATGCATTTTCCACACATGTCTTCATACTTCAAGTTGACTACTTCTTCAGCTTTCATGAAGACTTGTGGGCCACTTTTCATAAAGGAACAAAGCTTTGTCACTACCTGAGAGTCACTGCACATGTGGAGAGGAAAGGACAACAGAGGTGAAGCCACGTGTGGGGCTTGGCATCTGACAAGCTCACTCACTGAATAACAGACTCTTCTCCACATGCTGGAGTAGTGTTTCAGAGTCATATTCAGCAAAATGTCTGCATGTTATGAGCCTTGAGGTCGACCCCAAAGAGCTGTTAACCTAAATGATTTCATCTGCAAACATCAAGGGTCAGCCATTCTTCACAAAAGCCTCACTTAACCTGGTCTTGTCAGTGAGGGGGACCTTCTACAAGAGTGAGTTTTTCAGAGTTGATGGCCTTCATATGCCAAAGTTTTAAAAGGTTTTAACCTCTTTGGATAGCCATCTTCCTAAAATGGATTATATGTCTTTGCATTGATAAAGCATATTCTGCTGACTGAAATGGAACCTTCTCTCTATGGTTTCAAGTCATATTGAAGATAACAGTAATTTACTATGATTTGGGACAAAAGTAGTCCTTATGCTTGTCCAGGAAGCAAAGCTCTTGAAAGTCCAGTAAAATAGAAAGTAAATTTACAACAACTGATGCGTTTTTTTTGCTGTGTTAAATATTTAATAGTAGATTTTGGAATAGACCGTGGGAAACCAGTTTCAGATGGTCTAGAGATACAGGGAGCCATGTGTCTGATCTTTGAGCCTGGGAGCTTCTTAAGAACTTCCATTTATTTGTTCTCTACTTTTTCAAAGAGTAGTCGTTGAGCTCCTGTGCTGTGCATTGTGCCATACATCTTGTCTTCTTCACCCCTGCCACTTAAAACCCCTGTTTCAAGTGCCAGTGGGCTGGGGGAAAGAGACGTGACTACAGGCTCTGACCCTACAGCTGACTAGCTTGGATCTAGTGGTTGATCATGAGTGACTTTTTTGGAGGCCTTACTTTACTTTATAGTGCGATTGCATCTGATGAAGATGATTTATCCAGCGGACCTACCCTTACAAAAGGGTATTTATTTACATAAGAGAGCAGACCAAAGCTAAGATGCAGAATATAAATGAAAACAGGAAATCTCTTGCCCGGCCATTTGTTTTCATCTGTCTGTGATTTGCAAGGTCTCCCTAACAAGAAGGATAAACCTGTCAAATATCCTGAATTTGCAGCTCACAGTAATGAATATTTTGATGTGTAATAAAACTTGATGTGACTCAGCAGATATAGTAGCCAGGTTAGGAATCTTCTGTTCTTGTTTGACAAAAAGGCTGCCCCAGGAGGAAGAACCAGGGTAGAATTCTTAGGAGTCAATTTAGAAAAACTTAACTTTGTCATGGTTTGATTCTTGGCTTACAGATCTGAAAAAGGTTCAGCTGGAGCTCTGCCTGGCAGTCAGAAGACCTTCTTTTGTCTTGATTTTGCCAGTACTTTGCCATGCCTACCTGGCCAAACATCATACCCTCTCTGGGACTGACATTTCCCCTCTGTAAATTCTGGGCCAGCTCTGAAATTCTGTGGCCCGTGATTCTAAGGGTATTCATTTCTTTGAGCTGCCCTGAATTCTATAGAAAGCAAGTTTGGATCCTACATTAAATAGCCAAAGCAGCTAGACGAAGGTCAGCAAACCTTTTCTGTACAACAGGCCAGACAGTAAATATTTTAGGCTTTGTGGTTCATATGATGATAACTAGTCATAATGCTGCTGTTGGGTAATGGAAAACAGCCATAGACAATATATAAACAAATGAGAAATGAGCATGGCTGTGTTCCAATAAAACTTTGTTTATTTATTTTAATTATTTGTTTTTGAGAGAGTCTCACCCTGTCACCCAGGCTGGAGTAAGTGGCACGATCTCGGCTCACTGCATCCTCCATTTCCCATGTTCAATCAATTCTGTGCCTCAGCCTCCCGATAGCTGGGGTTACAGGCGTGCACTACCACAACTGGCTAATTTTTATATTTTTGGTAGAGATGGGGTTTCACCATGTTGGCCAAGCTATTCTCAAACTCCTGGCCTCAAGTGATCCATCCACCTCGGACTCCCAAAGTGCTGGGATTATAGGCATGAGCTACTGTGTCCAGCCTAAAACTTTATTTATAACACTGAAATCTGAACTTTACATACTTTGCACATAAAACATACTCTTCTTTTTTTTAAAATTTTTTCAACCATTTAAAAATGTAAAAATTGGCTGGGCAGGGTGGCTCATACTTATAATCCCAGCACTTTGGGAGGCCAGGGCAGGAGGATCATTTAAGCCCAGGGTTCAAGACCAGCCTGGGAACAAAATGAGAACTTGTCTCTACAAAAATCAAAAAATTAGCATGGTGGTGCACACCTGTGGTCCCAGCTGCACGGAAGGCTGAGGCAGGAGGATCACCTGAGCCCCGCAGCTTGAGGCTTCAGTGAGCCATGTTCAACTGGGTGACAGACTGAGACTCTGTCTCAAAAAGAAGAAGCAAAAATTATTCTTAGTTCATGAGTTATACAAAATACCAACTGGCCAGCTTCTGAGCTAGAACCCTAAGGAAACAGCTCTGTATGGTTGGAATAGAGACTGAGACATAGTAGAGTATAGTGATATGTGAACCTGGAGAGGTAGCAGAAAAGAGACTGGGGAGAACCTTGGAAACTTTCCTGAGGATTTTAAACCTTATGGAGACTAGGGATCCTTTGAAGGGTTTTAAGCTAAGTGGTAGGGTCAGAACTCCATTTTGAAAAACCATTGTGGCTTCTGTGTAAAAAATAGATTGGAGAGAACAAGTATGAGAGATATTAAGGAGGTAGATAGAATCCATAGGCTGACTGTTCACATATGAGTAGGAGAGAATGTTCCCTCCATTTCCCTGTGCTTATCTAAGGCACCTTTCTGCATCTTCCTCCTGTAGCCTTCTCTGTTTGCTCCAGCCAAGTGGGATTGCCTCATTGTCTGAATCCTCAAACCTTGGAAGTTGCTGATGGTGGCATGAACTCAGTGCTTCTGTAGTGCTTGGCTAGTCTTACCAAGCCATTTCTTATACCATGGACTTCAGTCATACCCAAACCATTCACTGTTCTCAGAACAAGCAAGGCTGCCTCCTGGCTTCTATACATGCCACTTGCTGCCCTGAATGTCTCTTTGCCCTTAACAATTTGGTAAATACCTATTGATCTCTGAGGACAGCTCAAATGTTACCTACCCTGTGAAGCCTGTCCTGATCCCCTGATAGACCTGAACTTTTCCTTCCTTTGTGCCCTGATTGGTCTGTCTTCAGACATCAATCCCAGCAGCATTGTTACATAATGAACATATACATGTATTTAGCAGAGTAGGCTGGGAGCTCCTAAAGGGCAGGGACAAGTACAAAGTAAGCCTTATGCATAGGGTTGAGGAATGAACGGATGGTGGTGGTGATGATGATGACAGCCAACATTAAGTATTTACTGTATACTAGACTCCAGGATAAAGGCTTCATCTACATAAGAACCACTTATTTCTACTTTAGAGATAAGGAAACCCAGATTAAGTAATTTGCCTAATATCACATTGTTAGCCAAGACTTAACCTCAGGTCTGCAGAGCCCATCAGTTAATTATTACTCCAGAGTCAGACGAAACCCAGACCTTCTCTGATGGTAACCTGCAGTGCGTATATGTCTGACTATGTAACACTGATGTGGCTGGCCAAAGACTTGCTCCTTTACCAATTGAATAAGATGCTGAAACTGATCCCATTCAATAGACTTCAATGTATGTTGAGAGGGGCACAGGGAAGCACATAAGAAATAGCGGTGCATGGAAGGGGGCCAACTTGTATATAGAGTGAGTGTCTACAGAGGCTTAGGAAAAGGAAAACAAATATTGGACAGATGTCATTTATCATGATTGGCTTTGTCTCTGGAGAGAAACACAGTTTTCTGACCGAACCCTTGGCCCCTTGACCCCAGTTAACTGTCTCATGAATCCAGATGGCCAGTTAGAAGGTGGCCAATAATAGGTTGACAATTCAGGATTATTATCCTCATAAACCAGTTTATTTCAGCTCATTTTTTATGTGCACCTACTTTGTGCCAGGTCTATGCTAAGTTACAAGGACACGGTGTTACAGTGGCATGGCACTTGACCTCACAGTCCTCCAAGTGCCAGTTTGTGATCTAGTCCACCACTGTGTGCCAGGCACTATGCTAGGCATATCCATATGCCAGATACCTGGCAGACTTTGGTAAGTACCCCAAGAGCAGTTTAGATAAAGCACTTCAAGTTAGGGGAGGTAGAGATTCCATCTGTCTGGGGAGTTGGGAAAGTTTTACAAGGAAGCTGCTCCTTTTGAACTGTCTTTTTGGGGCTTGGATTAGGATACTTGGAAGAAGAGCACTGCTGTTTAAGCGAAAAGCACAAGCAGAGATCTATAGGTGGATGAAGCAAAGAGTGGGGAGGAGTCTATTTGCCCAGCACTACAGGATAAACAAAGATTTGTAGTGGCAACTAAGGCTAGAAATTGGTTGGGTACTGACTCTAGTAGACCTTGAATGTTAATCCAGAGAGCCAGGAGGGTTTTGTCCTATAGGCGATGGGGCACTCTGGAAAGTAGCTCCCACCTCATATATGAGCATCACTGTGACACTGTGACACAGAGTGCTTATCTTCCCCATCTTTTATCTTTGCATGGCAGTTCTTGGACCTTTCCTTCAACAGCCTGACTGCAGAGGCCATCTGTGATTTGGGGATTCTGCCACACCTCCGTGTCCTGCTCCTCACAGGCAATGGCCTCACCTCCCTGCCACCCAATTTGGCTGTCGCAGAGCAGTAAGTTCTACCTCGTGGAGTCTGTTCTGTTTTTGTGTACAAATATCCAAGGAAATAACCCATAGCAGTTTGAGAGTGCCATAAAGATAGGATGTGCTCAAAGCAGGGATAATGTCACCTACTGAAGCTCCCAGAAAGGCCTCAGACATGTGCCCCCAATTTCCCCTGTGATGTTAGGAGAGATCCAGGTGTTTGGAAAGCCACTTTCCCTGCCTCTGATTGGTCATCTGTAAATTGTCTTGCCAGATGATTGTCCTTCATGAGCCCTCTGCTTCACCTCAGTAAGTCTGTTCCCTGGTCTCTAGATAAGGTTTCTACATTCCCACTCTGCATCTTTGCTGAGGCTGTTCCTTCTGGCTGGTCCTTCCTTTCGTAAGAGTAGTAAAAACACATGTGTAGTACTTACTATGTGCCAGACACTGTTCTCAGCACTATATATGTTAACTCATTAAATCCTCATAACAGCTCTATGAGGTAGGTCTCCTATTATTATCCCAATTTTTTAGATGAGGAAATAAGTATAGACATTTAAGTAACTTGCCCAAAGTTGCAAAGCTAGTCAGTAACAGAGCCAGGATTTGAACTACGTCAATTGGACTCCAAAGACCATACTTATGACCATTATATTATATTCTTACATAGATTCTGTACATTTTCTTGAGAGCTTGTTTGGAGGTTCTAGCAGGGGAGCACAGCTACTCGCATACCCTTGACCGAAGACCGGTCCTCCTCTATCGGGGATGGTCGTCCTCTTTGACCGAACGCGCAGCTTCGGGAGGGACGCACATGGAGCAGTGAAGGAGGAAGGGGACACCCGCCTAGCCAGCCAGATCAGCCGAATCAACCCTGGCGATCAATGGGGTGACAGATGTCACAGCCAGATCGCCCTCACATCCGATTCTGTACATTTTCTAAGACCCAGCTCAGACCTTCCTCTTTTCCCTACCAGGAGCCTTCTCTGACTGCTTTAGCCCATGCCTCTTAATCCCTTCTCTAAGGATCAGTTTAATTTAGTGTTTCCCAGTTAATTCAGTGCTTAGCATATTCTATTGTGATTTATGCCTAATGTATATATGTATATGTGTAATAAGTTACTTAGATTTCATATAGTGATGATGGTGGTTGGTTAGCTACTCAAGGGGGTTGGGATAATAGCAGTGATCATTTAATAGGGGTTTCATTAGTTAGGGTTGTTTTATTTGCAAGTAACATAAATCCAATTCAAAGTAGCTTAAACAAAAAAGGGAATTTATTGGTTCATGTATCTGGAAAATCCTAAGTTAAATCTGCCGGATGCTTTGGCTGGATATAGGTGCACAGGATGTTGTCAGGTCTCTGTGTGCATCTCTATTTCATGAGCATGTGTGCGACTTCTGTTACTCTGTCACTTGTTCTGTCATACACATGCAGATACCTTTGTTTTCCTTGGTGTTGGCTTCATTCTTTTTATTTATTTATTTTTTTTTTTGCAATTTTATAACTTTATTTGATGGATTAGGTATGGAACATTCCTTATTTCTTTGGCCTAGACAGCTTTGCTGAGCCTGGTATCAATGTGCACATCTGGAGTTCCCATCTCCTTCATAGCAAACTTCTGAATCTGTCTGGGTGCCTGAGGGGCATGCTTCTTGAAGCCCACTCCATGGATGTGCTTATGAACGTCGATGGTGTATTCTCAGGTCACTATCTGGTTGATGGCAGAATGGCCCTTTTTCTTTTCTTTTTTTTTTTTTTTTTTTTTTTTTTTTTTTGAGACGGAGTTTCGCTCTTGTTACCCAGGCTGGAGTGCAATGGCGAGATCTCGGCTCACTGCAACTTCTGCCTCCTGGGTTCAGGCAATTCTCCTGCCTCAGCCTCCTGAGTAGCTGGGATTACAGGCACGTGCCACCATGCCCAGCTAATTTTTTGTATTTTTAGTAGAGACGGGGTTTCACCATGTTGACCAGGATGGTCCCGATCTCTTGACCTCGTGATCCACCTGCCTCGGCCTCCCAAAGTGCTGGGATTACGGGCTTGAACCACCGCGCCCGGCCAGAATGGCCCTTTTTCTTCTCGCCACCTTCTTTGTGGAATCCTGGCTTCATTTGTAAGTAGGCTTTCTCCGCGAGTCAGTCAGGCTGTAGACAGAAATATAAAAACCACTTAAGATATTGCAAATAGATTGGATTTATTGGTTTATTGATTGGTTTACTCATTTATTCTTGGTAGGGGGGGTAATTGGTATTTTGTCATGGAAATTTTTAAACACATAAAATTAAAGTCAATCTTAAAATTGACTCCAGGTGCCTATCACCAACAGTTATCACATGACAATTATCAAGGTTATAGCCAATCTTGTTTCATCTATGCCCCTACCACAGCCCATCCTAGAATATTCTTAAGAAAAATCTCATACATACCTATAAATGTTTCATCTATAAATATTCCAGTTTGTAGCTCTAAAAGATAAGCACTCTTAAAAATCATATCCAGAGAACCATTATTCCACCTAAAATATTACCAGTGATAAAGAAAGGGAATTGGTTACATGGCTTTTAGAAGGAATGGAAGAGCTAAGTGGAGAAGAGGAGTATGGGAAGAACAAAGAGGAAGAATGGTTGATAACCAGAGATCAGAAGCTGCAATACCGCTAAACTGAAGTCACCAAGTCTATACTCACTGCTGGGCTTTTAGGGAGGGTGTCACTGTAATTCTGGATGTGCTAAAGATGTGATGCCTCAACCAAGGCTGGAATCTCTGCCAACACAGTTCCATGGTTAGAGCTGCCATTGCTACTGCACTATCACTGCTGCTTCTTATAGAAATGCTATCAGAAGCCAAACAAGAGTTTCTTCTCCCTTGCTCTGGCCTTCCAGTCTCTCATGAATCCCTTCTATTAACAATATCTAACTGGAAACAAATTGGAAAGGCAGTCTGGGAAGTGTAGGTGAGGAGGTGGCTCCAGCCCCTTATAATACATAGAAGCACACAGAGGGAAAGGATGAAGGCTGAGAGCAAACAGGAAGATGACTGGCACCATTCAACCCTTGGAACACCAATATCTGCTCTCCTACTTCCCTCCGTATTTAATTTCCATGCAACAATAGCAACCATAACATGCTTTTAACTAACACAGAGGAACTCTTCCTCTTATACTGAAGACACCTTCACCATCCTCTCAAGAAGGATGAGACACAGTTTCTTCATTTACTGTAGCTGTCTCTGGATGATATTATTTTCTCCTCCAAATAAATTTATGGATATTTTATATCCTAAAAACTAAGTTGTAAAGTCAGTCACCACTAGCAGTTTAAGTGTGCATGCAAGTACACACACACACACACACACACACACACACACACATACACATGAAGGAAGAAAATGCACATGAAAATATGCATAGTTGCTACAGTCATCTTTTCCTAACTGGTCAGGAGGCCATAGTGGATATCTGTAAATACTTTTTTCCATCACCTTTTCAATGTTCCTTTGTCCTCGTCCAGCACCTTGGCTGGTTGGGATTCTTTAACTGATGTGGTCTTCTGAACCTTCACTCCTGAAGGGTCTGAGTCCTTAAAGGTCCTGCTTTTACTGGGTTGCTGTAGTCTTCATCAAAAGACTAAAAGACATGGAACTTCTTAGAGGAGCACCAGATAATATTCTGGATCCCAAAGATACTCTTTTTTGACCTCAAGGTATAACAGCAATTATATTTATTTTTAGAAACAGTATCAGTTACCTAGCCAGTAGGATGAATCCCTCTTTGACTATTGGTTCAGAGGAATGAGAATCATAAGTGGCCAGTAGCAATCACAACTTCCAATTCAGTGGAACTATGGTTGTCTCCTGATAAAAGTACCCCTTAGGAACTAAGACCTATAAATCAGAAGTGCCCAAAATTGTAGAATGAGAATCAGAATTCTGCAAACAGACTATTAGATATAATTGTAAGAGGAGCTACTCTCATTTCCATTAATTCTTAGGCACATAGGCTGTGGTAATGAGAAAAACCATATCAGTTTTGGTTGCTGGTTTACATGACACCCTATGCTATTTTAAGTTAGGATCCCAACTTCCCTAACTATATCTAACTGGTATAGTAGATAAATCATCAAAGACTATTTCACTAGAGAATTCTGGGAAGATGATAGAGTAGGAAGCACCAAGAACCGGTCTCCTCATTTAGACAACAGTTTCATTGGCAGAATCAGTCTGATATAACAATGTTGAAACTCTGGAGTCTATTAAAAGTTTGCATCTGCTAGGAGAAGATTTGGATGACAAACTGCAGCTAATTTCAGTCAATTACAGCTCTTAACCCATAACTCCCAATCTCATAGTTCAAATTTTAAATCTGAAAATTAGAATAAGAAATATATTCCTGGGGCAACTCACATGCAGCTTGCAGGAGCCAGGGTGGGCAAAAAGATCCTTGTCCTCCAAATTTTAGAGATCTGTGCTCTGATCACTGAGTGCTACTTCTGATCATTGAGGTGCAGACACAGAGGCACACAACCATAATTGTATACCATCTACAACTGTTGTAAGCCCCTTCTGTTCCAGCTGAAGAGTCTTCCAGGGAATTTAAAGGACTTCCTTTCTTAATCCCCATTCCACCCCCACTCCTCCAACTTTTGGGAGCCAGACATTAAAGTCTGGGACATTCAAAAGCAACTGCATATACAAAGGAAATTAGAATGTCCCCACACATACCCAGAGAAGCACACAGGCTTAGAAAGACCTGAGAAGACCTTACATTTACACCTCAGCCTGATCCTTGACACAGAGACAGCCTACAATAATCAAACACAAAACAGCAACAAAAAAAAAAACCATAGCAAACCCTATAAAGACGAGAATCTGATTTCTAGAGTTACCATTTTAATAGATTTAAATATCCAGCTTTCAACAAAAAATCACAAAGCATACAAAGAAACAGAAAAATATGGCCCATCCAAAGGAAAACATTAACCAACAGAAACTATCCCTGAGAAAGGGAGGACTTACTAGACAAAGACTTTAAAACAGCTGTCTTAAAGGTTTATAAAGAACTAATGGAAAATATGAATAAAGTCAAGAATATGATGTATTAACAAAAAGGAAATAACAAAGAGATTAACAACCTAAAAAGAAAACAAACAAAAAAATTTTAAACCAGAAAATTAGAAAAAGAAATGAGCCAGGAACAGTGGTTCATGCCTGTAATCCCAGAACTTTGGGAGGCTCAAGTGGGTGGATCACAAGGTCAGGAGTTCGAGACTAGCCTGGCCAACACAATGAAACCCCCTCTCTACTAAAAATACACAAATTAGCTGGGCATGGTGGCATGTGTCTGTTCGCCCAGCTACTCAGGAGGCTGAGGCAGGAGAATTGCTTGAACCTGGGAGGTGGAGGTTACAGTGAGCTGAGATCATGCCACTGTACTCCAGCCTGGGTGATGGAGCAAGACTTCATCTAAAGAAAAAAAAAAGAAATGAAATACTCACTAGAGAGATTCAGAGGCAGATTCAAGCAGTCAGAAGAGAGAATCAGCAAAGCTGAAGATAGAACAGTTAAATGTATCAAATCAGAGAAAGAAAAAGTAAAAAAAGATTGACTTGAGACAAAGCCTAAGGGACCTGTGGGATACCATCAAACCAACCAACCTATGTATTATGAAAGTCCCAGAAGGAGAAGAGAGAAAGCACAGAGAGAGAGATTATTTGAAGAAATAATAGCCTAAAACTTCCCAAGTTTGATGAATGACATGAATATAAACATACATGGAGCTCAGTGGACTCTCAGATAGGATGAACTCAAAGAGACCTCCACTGAGTCATATTATAATTAGACTGTTAAAAGACAGGATCTTGAAAGCAGTGAGGGAGAAGCAACTCATCACGTACAAGGAATCTTCAGTATGATTGTCAGCAGACTTTTTGTCAGAAATTTTCAAGGCCAGAAGGCACGGGGCTGATACATTAAATATATTTAATGTGCTAAAAGAAGAAAAAAACTGTCAACTAGGAATCCTACATCCAGCAGAAGTGCCCTTCCAAAGTACAGAAGAAACTAAGACATTCCCAGATAAACAAAAGGTAAAATTCATTGCCACCAGTCCCGCCTGCATAAATATTAGAGGGAGTCTTGCAAGTTGAAATGAAAGGATGCTAGACAGTAACTCAAAGCTGTAAGAAGAAATAAAGCTCTCATTAGAGGTTAATGCATGGGCAATTACAAAAGCTAGTATTATTGTAACAACAGTTTGTAATTCCACTTATAGAACATTGTGAGCAAGGAAGGCAAATCTGTGTCCAAAAATACATTTATAATTATTCTAGTAAGGAAAACTTGCTGCTGCTTTTAAAAGTCAACCTCATACTAGATGGCTATATAATCCCTCGAGAAATGGTGTCATATGAGGGGCTCAGCAGTGGCCTCTGCCATTGGCAGGTTGAATACTCAGCAGGGGTCATAACCAGATTTGCTTTGGTGAAAGGAAGTGTGTAGCCTTCATCCCTGTTGCCAAGGGAAAGAGGGCAACTGACATTCAAGGAATGGGTTACCTTAACTTCCTAACCATTGAGAGTCTCCTCTGCAGGGAATAGTCTTGGGGAAACAGTCACATGAGACACAAATAATCTTCATACTCTATCTATTCTGAGAAGTTAGGTCACATAATTTTTCTCTGTATTTTCCTCTCAGCAGCTTTCCCATATTCTTTCCAAGCTTTGACTATTCAGCTAAACCATCAGCCGCTGCCCATGAATCAGTGTAGATCTGTACTTCTGGCTGTCTCTTTGACTAAGCAAGTGGCCAGTCAGATAGTCAGATATATTGCTTTAAGTTCTGCCTACTTAGATTTTTCTTCCCCTGTCTTTTTGGTCACTTCTGTGGGGGGCTGTGATATTGTAATGGTCTGCTTTGGGAAGGTATCAGCATATCATGCTAAGTCATTTGTAAACCCAGCTGGAGGTTTTTCTTCCTATATTAGATGGCCATAGGACGTTAGTTAAGGGTTGATGGAGAGGTAGCAGTACAGCAGGAGTATGCACCATAGGAATCTGAGCCATATATTCCTGCAACTTTTCCAGACTTGCTGGAGCCTGATTTCAAATATTGCTTTCACTTGATGGGGGAGTTCTGTTGTTCGTTCAGTTCATGATGAGTGGTTCAGGTTGCGTGATCACTTAGTATCCTGTGATCAGGTATTTGGTCTCTACCAATATGCAGTAGTAAGTGGGAAATCGTTTTTCAAATAAAAATCATTATCTTCAGAATAGAGCATAACTTTGTTCAAAAATGAATCTGCTATAGGTACCTAGAAAAGGCTCTATTCATAGAATGACCATGTACTTTATCATCTAAACCAGGATATAAATGAGAGGGAAAGGGGACAGTATTAATAATTATTTGGGGATAACAGGTGAAAACTCAGGCTATCATTGAAATCCAGGATTTATGGTACCCTGTCTGTAGAGCACACCTATTTGCCATAGTCCTTGAGAAACCATTTGGACCTGCTGAGTCATATGCCCAATGGAAGAGCAACTTGCATTATAGTTGGGACCTGTTGTAGAATCTTGCCTTGCTCTGGGCCTCACTCAAAACTAGCAGCCTTGTGGGATACTTAGTAAGTGAGTTAGAACAGCACAAATGTTTTATGTGTCACTTCTAAAATCCAAAAAGGGGATGGGCACAATGGCTCATGCCTATAATCTCAGCACTTTGGGAGGCTGAGGTGGGTGGATCACTTGGGGTCAGGAGTTTGAGACCAGCCTGGCCAACATGGCAAAACCTCACCTCTACTAAAAATACAAAAATTAGTCAGGTGTGGTAGTGGGTACCTGTAATCCAAACTACTCAGGAGACTGAGGCAGGAGAATTGCTTGAACCTGGGAGGCAGTGGTTGCAATAAGCCAAGATCCTACCACTGCACTGCAACCCTGGGCAACAGAGTGAGACTCTATCTCAAAAAATAAATAAAATAAATAAAAATAAATCCAAAAAGACGAATGAAGCTTTGTGATTTTTTTTACAAGTAGTGCAAAGTACAGGATTATGTTTTTCATGTTAGAAGTATATCCCAACATGCTTCAGATATCTGGACAACAAAAAAAATTAATCCATTTCATAGTCCCCTGAATTTTGATGGTGGAGGGGGTTTATCTCCATCCTGTAGCACACATATCTTACTAAGACATCTAGGATGTTTGCAACTCTTCCTGCTTGCCAGGTCTAATCAGCATGAAATTCTGTAGGAAATTTTCAAAATAGTAAGATCCCAGAGTTGATATGGCCCCAAGAGAAGAGGACAAAAGTGTACTGTTCTCCGTCAGGTCAAGGCAGACTACTTCTGGTAGTTCTTATCAATTGATAAAGGGAAAGAAATATTTGACAGGTCTTTAGCTGTATCCCCAGTGCCAGGGGCTTTGTAGATTTGCTCCAGTAAAAAGATTCCACATTTGGAATAGCAGCTGAAAGTTGGAGTCACCTCTTGATTAAGCTTACAGTAATCTACAATCATTCTTCAAAACCTTTTTTTCTGTACAAGCTAAATAAAGAAAAGATATCTTCTATACAAGTTAAATAAATGAGATGTTAAACAGGGATATCATAGAAATCATTATCCTTCCATCTTTTTAATCTTTAGTGATGGCAGTAATCTCTGCAATTAATTACCTCAGGGATTCAGTGTTATTTTTGGTTTACTATTACAGGGAAGAAAAGTTACTGGGGTTTCAGTTGGACACTTCCTACCACAATGACGTTTACTTTGTTGCTCAGTAAACAAATATGGGTATTCTGCCAGTTGTTTAGTATGTCTGTTTCAGTGACACATTCAGGAACTGAGGAGAAACCACAAGGTAGATTTATGACTCCACTGGGTCCATTGTGAAACAGACTTTGGCTAAATTTTCATTCTGTCATCTGATCTTTATGATCCCCCACTTTTGAGTGATGAACCACCATGCCTTTTATATCCCCAGAGATTGGTACCAGTTTGCAGACACTGTCTAGTAATCCTTACAAGGCCTAATATAGCACTGTTTGGTAGAACTTCCTACAATGTTGGAAATGTTCTGTATCTGTGTTGTTCATAGTGTAGCTACTAGGTATATTGAGTTCTTGAGCACTAGAAATGTAGCTCATGTGATATAGGAACTGAATGTTCAATTTTCTTTAAGCTTAATTAGTTTTAAGTTAAATGTAAATAGGAACTGAATGAGAGGCCATGGCTCTTCCTTTGGACAACTGAAATCATTTTTTTCTTACCAGATCAAGGGTATTCTGGTTATCTACATCACTAATAATTTCAAATAGTCTTCATCCAATTATAGAAATTGAAATTATCTGAAGCTAGTCTTCGGTCTCTGCAAGGTCCATACTATTTCCAGTGTATTTGTCCTCCAATGGTTTCGTTTTTTAATGATCTGACTTAGAGCATGAGCAGTCAGGCTTCTATTCTGTGGCATGCTTTAGATTACAATTTTTGGCTCCTGGCCCGGCATGGTTGCCAGAATCTCTGCTCAACTTTTCAGCCTCTCTGCCCAACTTTTCAGCTTCTCTGCCACTTCTAGAGTTAGCAGTCTTAGGGGAAAAGTTGCATGAACCCCTTTGGATTTCCTTCTTTTTTCAAACCTTAGCCCCATAATTCTTCACAGCTTATTTGTTCGCAGGTATCTTAAGGCAGATTGTTTTTAAAGGTATATTTTGTCTGGGTTTTGTAGTTTTTTTACTCAGGGAAGAGTTGGCCCACATTATTTAGTTTGCGATACTGTAAACCTTGTTATTTATTTTGGCCAGGTACCTAGGGCATTCCGTATGGAATCAGCTTAAACTAAATTCCTGACTGGGTGTTTTCTGAACCACTCTGATGACACAGATTTGAGCTATAGTTTTGCAAGGGGACCAGTCTGCACTTCTCCTCCTCCGTTCACTCCAAGACCATTTTCTCCTGGCTATGGGATAAGGAGAATGGGTTTAGTTTTGGTTAATTCCTCCTTAGGGTGAATCCCTTTCAGATCCCAAATTAGTATAAAGGGTCTCTGATTAAATGCCCCCACCTTCAGTGTTCCCTGGGCTTTGATTCTCTAGCCCCATGATACTGTCAAACCATAGTTCAGTTTCAACAGGACTAGTAAATGCCCTCAAAACTTGAATGGCTTCCTATGTTCAGTTTCTCCCTCTGGGTTTTTAGATTTGGCATACTGCTTCTTTACTGTCTTCACATCTCTTATATTAATATGATGGATCCATCACCACAGGGAATGGTGGTGTGTGCCTGCAGTGCCAGCTACTTGGGAGGCCAAGAGGGGAAAATCATTTTAAGCCAGGAGTTCAAGTCCAGCCTAAGCAACATAGCAAGACACCATCTCTACAAAAGAAAATAAATAAAATGATGAATATTTTTTATTTTTATATTTTTTTCATAATTCTAGTTGTTTTCAGTGGAAAGCCTAGTTAAAAAAAAAATAAGGCAAGTCTCCCCACCCTGTGCTTCCATGTCCTCATATATGAGAGAGAAAATAAATGTATTCCTACCTGCATCAGAATATCAATTGAAATCAGCATGCTTTGAAAGCTGTGGGTTGGCCAGGCATGGTCACTCACACTTGTAATCCCAGCACTTTGGAAGGCTGAGGCAGGAGGATTGCTTGAGCCCAGGAGTTCGAGGCCAGCCTGGGCAATATAGTGAGACTTCATCTCTACAAAAATAAAAATAAAGATGGGGGGCTCCAGACAAATATCAATGTCATTATTTTCTTCCCACTCATCTGTCTAGATTCAGTATGCTGTGTGAGTTCCTCTTCTGCCAACCTCTTAAACGTTGGTGCTCCCCAGTCATCCACCCTCAACCTACTGTTTTCTTAATTTTTATACTCTTTGTTGGTGGTCTCCTCTCCTCGCAAATCTTCTGAGCTATAAGCCCATTTAACCTACTTATCATATCCAATTCCTCACACACAGCCCCATGCCAATAAGTCCTCCTTCTTGTTCTCTCCTTCTTTCTTTCTTTTCCTGGCTTCATTGACTGGCACTTCTCCCCATCTAGTATTTAGTTGTCCAGGATAGAAACCTGGGCATTAGCCCAAATTTTGCACTCCCTCATTCCACACATTCATTCAATCACCAGATGCTGTCAACTGTACTTTCTAAATTCTTCTCAAATCTGCTCATTCCTGTTATGTTCCTGTTTGGTTTCAGTCTGCAGTTTCTTGTCTCCCAACCCATCCTCCTATTTGTCAGCCAGAGTGATCTTTCTGAAATGCACATGTGATTCTATCACTGCCCTGCCTAAAGTCTTTTAGCAGGTTCCCACTGTCCTAAAGATAAACTCCATTAACATCACTCACGAGGCTTTTCATGGCCTGACTCTGCCTACTTCTCCATCTTCCTTTCTCTTCACTTTTTCCATTCATCATATACCTCATTTATTCTGAACTATTTGTGTCTCCATTTCTCACTATTTTCTCTGGGTGAGTTAGGGGAATCATATTTGACCCATTCTGTCTTTAGACTACTCTATTACTTTGTTTTGAGCTGGAATCTGCTCCTTTGGCTCTTTAATTAGGCCTACTCCCTTTCTGCTTCAGACCATACAAGTCGGCTTTCACAGGCATGACTAGCACAAAGCAGAGGGTAAATTGTTACCTCCTTTTTTTTAGTCACTGTATTCGAAATAACACCATCTAAAAGAGCACTGGGTTTTCAGTAGCCACATCATAATCCTCTTTTACACACACACAGTCTGTTAAGCCGTTTCTCCCTTATCCTGTGTGTTTGCACAGTTGGTGTTCTGTATCTTAACACAGAAGCTGATCTGACATCTGTCCTAATGTAAGTGCTTGCTAAGTTTCATCTTGTTTGTTGCAGCCCTTGGATCAATCTTTTGAGTGATATTGTTAGCCTAATCCAAAGTCTTACAGTGTAAAGTAAAAGAAATCCCCTTGTACCATATAAATAGAAGATCTAGGCCCAGAGATGCTCAACACTAGTGGGAAGTCACAGAGCAAACAAAGCAGCAGCAGCAGCATTGGAGCCAGAGCTCAGTGATCCTGCCCCGCTTCCCATACATCTTCTAATATAATACGCAAATTCCCATTGCTGAATCCAACCACTGCACATACCCTTAGCTTCTAAAAAACTTTCATTAAATCTCAGATTTTAAAAAGTATTAATTCTATTTACTAAAAGAAATGATAATAAAAATAGCACCACTCTGAACAGCTGGAAACCCCAGCTTCTCCACTACTGATGGCCTGCCACTTCAAAGAACTCTTCTTCCAGAAGGGGCTTGGTGGGAAAGCGTGCTGCTTTCCTCTGAAGCTAGGCATCTATCTTCTCACCCATCTGATGGCTCTCCCTCTATTTTAAGACATCTATTTTAGAGACAAAAAATGAAACTTTCCCATGCTATAATTAGGGTGGAACTTTAAAAAGGCAAAGTAGTGTAACTTGTCACAAGAGACAAGACAGAGCCAGCTTCTGCATTATGGACCTTAAGAGGAATTTTTTCAAGGCTTATTTGTTAGCTGTTTCATATTTCACTGGAGTAAAATAAAGATGGGCCAATCAATTATAAATCAACAGAGCTGCTATGCCCTGTTCTGTAATAGCTCTCAGAGATTAAAAATTCAGTGTACAAAAGTTGGTCCTTCCAGAAAGAGGAAAGGACACATCCGTGACCTTGAAATATTATGAACTATAAAGGCTTCCTGCCTTCTCTGTTACATGTCTCTGGTCTTTGGACTTCAAGCCTATTCCACACACTGCTGCCAGGGCCATGTCCTGTTTTTTTGTTTTTTTTTTTTTTTTCTTTGAGATGGAGTCTTGCTCTGTCACCAGGCTGGAGTGCAGTGGCGTGATCTCGGCTCACTGCAACCTCCACCTCCCAGGTTCAAGCAATTCTCCTGCCTCAGCCTCCCAAGTAGCTAGGACTACAGGCGTGCGCCACCACACCCAGCTAATTTTTGTATTTTTTAGTAGAGACAGGTTTCACCATGTTGTCCAGGATGATCTCGATCTCTTGACCTCATGATCCACCTGCCTCAGCCTCCCAAAATGCTGGGATTACAGGCATAAGACACCACACCTGGCCCTGGCCTGTCGTTTTTTGCAGTCAGAACTGTCATTATCTGTAGAAGTCTATCAGTGTTAGGATACAGGGGGAAAAAAAGGCTGGGGAGAATTTACTGTAAGAACATTGGGGAATCTCACAGCCATGCCTTAGGGTCATGCTGAACGTAGGCCCTGAGCACTGTGGAGCAGCCTGGAAGTTCTGTCACTCAGCTTTCACATCTCCTCCTCTCTGTGACTTGCCACATTTTTCTTTACAGGTGGGCTGCCTGTGTCTTTCTGGACCCCATGATGGGAAACATGGCTGCCAATAGCTTCTAATTATGTTACAGATCCAGCCACGAAGAGATTTATTTTTTTCCGTGTTCTCTCTCTTTCAAACTGCTTAAGACCATGGCAGTTCCCTTTCTATTCCTCATGGTTTTGCTTAAACATTGACTTTCCTAAATAGGTGCCTTCCCCACCTACTTCTTTTATAGTGTTTGTCTCACTGCATGCTGTGTGTCCACCTCCTCCATAGACTGTAAGCACCCAGAGGGGAGGGATGTGTTCTTTTCTTTGTATTCTCAGTACCTGGCCACATAAATGTATGTTAAAGAAATTCGAGAGTGTGAATGAACAAATTAATTAGTAATACATTCATTTAGAATATATCCTCTCTAAATGCACCTGTGAAATATCCCTGACTTCAGGTATGCATCACTGCCTACCTTTGTTAAGCTCTCTTTAGCCCAGGCATCAGCTCCTCCTTTCATTTCCCCACCCTTTAATCCACATGAGACTAGTAGATGTGAACATGAGCGGTGTCATTTGGCAGTGGAAAGGGCGTGGGATTTGGAGTCAGACAGATCTAGGTTCTAGTTTGAATTGTCCCACTTTCTAGCTGTGAGACTACAGGCAAGTTTCTCTGAGCTTCATCTTCTTAATCAGTTTCATTTGATAACACATACAAAACATGTAGCACAATGCCAGAAATGCAGTAGGTGCTAAGGAAATGTTAGTTTCCCTTCCCCTTGTTGTGTATGTGTGTGTGTTTATGGCTTATATATGTGTATACTGTATGCATTTGTGCCTATGTGTATTATTTGGGTATGTGGGTGGCATACAGTGTGGAGGGAAGACTGAAAATGCTGTTTGCATCATCTGCCTGTGTGGAAGAGAGTTACCTAGATCTCATCTACCTGAAGGACACAAATGAGATCACATTAATGGCAGTACTTAAAATGCCACCACTTTCTGCCCACCCATGTAATTCAGGGCATCACCCCCTTAAATCTCACTCTTAGGTGTTTCTGGGAATCCTCTGAGAGTTTGAGTTTAAGAAGAAACTTCTCCACTCCTTACTCATGTGTTTATTTTATGAAGCCACTTGATAAGAGAACCTCACTGCAGCCAGGGATGGTGCCCTTAATCCACCCTACTTTACCCTACTAATTGGCAAAGCTGTGGTCTATAACAAGGGCATTGTCTCCTGGTGCTCCCATAGTTACCAGTCTACTAGGTGACACAGCATAACCAAGAGTCTTCCCGAGTCAAAATTGTGCATTGATCTATCTGCAGAATGCTCCTTCTAGTTTGGCCTCTTTTACCCTGGTATTTTCTATAAGCACTACCTATACAATCTCCCGCCCTGGCCTAACCTGGTCTCAATGATGTGTGTAACCTTTCTCCATACAGAAGACGATATGGTATGTATGAATAGAGTTTGGGGAAAGAGAAGGTGGGGAGGGAATTGTACATTCTCTGCATCCCTACAGGGACCTCTTTTGGGCACTAGAGCAGTTCCTAAGCTGGTTAGACCTCCTGGTTGATTCCCTGTCCTCTTCAGCATCCAGAGAATGGTGGAGTCTGTCACCTGACCTTGCTCATTACCCAAGATCTTTGCACTCACAGGGAGGCATCCGTAACATCGCTGACAAGCAAGAGGTACCTCCTGAGGTTCCCAGCACTGGAGACACTGATGCTGGATGACAACAGACTCTCCAACCCCAGTTGCTTTGCCAGCCTGGCTGGGCTCAGGAGGTAAAGCCATAAGCCTTTCTCTGCTGGGCCTCCTCTAAACCACAGGCTTTCTCATACTCAGTACCTCCTTGCATTTCTGGCTGTTCTGGAAGCCAAACAGCTTGGGTTTAAATCCCAGCTCCACAATTTACCTCTGCTGTGTGGCCATGGGCAAATCATTTCTCCCCTCTGAGCTTTAGCTCCTCCATAAACATGGCCATCAGTGAGAACACTTCTGATCACATGACTGAATTAGAAGCAGTGAAGAGAAAGGAAAACAGGAGATTTTACCCAAGATAGGATCCTGACCCTGACAATGCAGACAGAAAATTTTTAAAATAATGAGAATTAGAAAGAGAAATTTAACTCCTGAGTTGTAACTGTTTGAAGTAAAGAAAATACTGGCATTTACATTCCTGGAAAATTTACTTTGGATTCAACTACCATTTACTGAATACTACTTTGTGCCAGGCCATTTACATATTCCCTCATTTAATCTTCGCAAGAACCTTGAAAGGTTATTAAATATGATCCCCATTTTAGAGACAGGGATATTGAAGCCCAGAGAGAGTAAGTCACTGGCTAAAGGTCACACAAGAGGAATAAGTATCCAAGCCTGATTCCATGTTTTCTCCCTATAGTTGCTTGGTAAACAATCCTGAGGTATCATTATTGCTATGACTCTGTATTCACTTTCCTTAATTGAAGACTGAAAAAGTTAAGCCTGGATGAAAACAGGATTATCCGGATCCCATACCTACAGCAAGTTCAGCTCTACAATGAGTCAGAGGATTGGATTGGAGGCAGGGAAAATCCCCAGAAAGAGCCCCAATTCATGCTGCAGTCCAAGCCATGGATGCTTGAGGACTCAAATGAGCAACTGGATTACACTGTACTGCCCATGAGAGAGGATGTTGACCAGACAGGTGAGTGATACTCCTTGTTCCCGAAATTCTAGCCCCATAGTGAAAACATACTTCTGAGAGTTTATTCTAAAAGTCTCACTTAGTCAGGATGAATATCACAAATTGAATTTGCTGATTCTTTGTCAAGGATTTTTGCATCTATGTTTGGGAGATATGTTGGTGTATTGATTTCTTTTGTTACATAATTCTTGTTAGGATTTATAATCAAGGTTATGCTTGCCTCATAAAATGTGTTTGGAAGTGTTCATTTGTTTTCTGCTTCCTAGAAAAGTTTATATACTATTATTAGTTTGTCCTTAAATTTTGGAAGAATTTACCATGAGATCACATGAGCCTGAAGTTTTCTTTGTAGAATGAGGTTGAAAGTATGCAAATCTAAAAGCTTAGAGGAAGACCCCCTGACATGTGAAATTTAGACCTCTGAGGAAGAGGTGCTGGTTAGCTACTGATTTCTCTGTGCTGTGATAAGCTTCATGTAGCTGAGACCCAGATCTTTGAGAAGAGGATACTGGCCAGCTGGTGCTGGTGCCTATGAAGAAGTCAAAATGAAGCTAGTTTATACAAATTGGAAAAACTGCAAACTGGATTCAGCTACTGCTGGGGAAAGACTTGCTAGACTAAAGCAAAAAAAAAAAAAAAAAAAATCAGAAACCATATTATTCTAGTGGCATTCACAGGAATCACAAGCAGTCAGGAAACCCATGGGAAGCAGAGAGGAAGAAATAAGCTCCTTTTTTTCCTTCTAGCTTTGCAGTCTCCCTTTAGCACCACCCATATTGTCAGAGCCAGCGGCCAAAGCAGAAATAAGGTTTTGAGGGCCTCAGCTCCAGCGTTCCAAAGCAGAATAAAGAAAGATGGATTTTGAAGTTACAAAATATATACTTAATAACTGGCCAGGCACAGTGCCAATTATTTTGGGAGGCAAAGGCTGGATGATTGTTTGAGGCCAGGAGTTTGGGGCTGCAGTGAGCTGTGATCACGCCACTGCCCTCTGGCCTAGGCAACAGAGTGAGACTCTCTCTCTATAAAAAATGTAAAAATTAGCTGGGTGTGATGGCACGTGCCTGTAGCCTGTGGTACTAGCTACTTGGGAGGCTGAGGCAGGGGGATCCCTTGAGCCCGAGGTGAGCTATGAACGTGCCACTGCCCTCCAATCTGGGCAACAGAGTGAGACCCTGTCTCTAAAAATAATAACAACTTCATAAAGGGCACAATTACATTATTCATATTCTCCCTAAAAATACTTTTCTGTCTACTTGGTTTGTTAACTTTGGAAATAGGTATATTAAAGTCTATCCCCACTATTGTGGATTCGTCAGTGTCTCCTTGCACTTCTGGCATTTTTTTTTTCTATGAAGTTGGTTTGGTTCTCTGTTACTAGGTCTGTGACTTTTATCTTGGTGGATTTTGTCTTTTAATTATTGTAAAATATTCCAGATAGATAAATTTGGTTTTGACTTGGGTCTCTATTTTGTATGATATGAATATTTATTTTAGGATATCTCAAAAACAATATAGCATTGCATAGTTGTCCTAATATGAGTCTTTTTAATAGAAGAATTTAACCCACATGGTGATTATTGATATACTTTACCTTATTTCTACCTTTAGTATGTTTTCTATTTACCTATGCTTTTTATTTTTTCTTTTTGTGAGCACTGTTTTCTTTCAATTCTAAATTTTTCATCAGTTGTTTAAAGCAATAAATCTCATGTCTATATATCTGATGGTTACCCTAAAACTTTTATTTTTGGAGACAGCATCCCACCCTATCACCCCAGGCCAAAGTGCAGTGGCACCATCGTGCTCAAATTACATGGTTGAACTTTGGGGCTCAAGCGATCCTCCTGCCTCAGCCTCCCAAGTAGCTGGAACCACTGCACCTGGCTATACCCTACAACTTCTAATTCACATTTTAAAACTCACTTTTGTCTATCAATACGAAAATCTTAATATGCATCTTTCTACTCTATCCCACTCCCATCACTTCTCATAATGTAATAAACCCTAATAATAATTTAGATTGGTTTTAATTTTTAAAATTATGTATCAATAATTCTTTAGACAGAAAGATTGAACCTCATACTTAGGTTCTTTATCACGTGTACATATTTATAACTTAGGGGCAGAGACCTGTTTATAATACAGCTCGGGTCCTAATATGGTATAATTTTTAGCCTTTTCAAAGTTCTTCTTGCCCTCTTATTTTTTCTCTTTCATCCTTAATTCTCTACTCCCATTTTCTATTTTCATATAAGTGTCTACTCTTATCTTGGATATATTTTCCTGGGTATATGTATTTATCTTTGGAAAATATATATTATTTTGTGTGTAATGTGTTTGTAATTTTTTTTAATTTTTTTTATTACACAATGGTAATATGCTCTTGAGCTCTTTCCATTACTTAATTTTTTTTTCCAGTCAACATTATTTTTAAGACCTTTCCTTCTTGCTGTATGTCCACCTAGTTATTGGCTTTTAACTAATGCATGGTATTCTACAATATATGCTCTAAACACATTTCACACGTCTCTTCTCTTACTGATGAACACTTAGGTTGCTTATAACTTTCTTAATACAAATAGTGCTGCAATGAACAACCTTGTGAACATCTTCTACATATACCACTGTGCCAGGGTTTTCTTGGAATATTTACCCAGGAGTGGGATTGATGGATGACAGAGTATATGTATACGTAGTTTTAAAAACTGCCACCTGATTGTTCTTCAAAATGGTTGCTTCAGTGTATACTCACACGAGTAGTACATAAGGTTTCTTGTCTTCCTATGTCCTTATCAATACTTGGTATTATCTTACTTTATAATTTTTATTCTGGTAGGTGTAAAGTGATATTTACCTTTAAAAACTTTTTAATTTATAATTTTTGTGGGTACATAGCAGGTGTATATATTTATGGAGCATATGAGATATTTTGGTACAGGCATGTAATATACTCTCTTAGTTATTATTGACTATAGTCTCCCTGTTGTGCTACCAAATACTAGGTCTTCATTCTTTCTATTTTTTTGTGCCAATTACCCATCCCCACCTCTCCCCCAGGCCCTCACTATCCTTCCCAGCCTCTGATAACCGTCTTTCTACTCTCTGTGTCCATGAGTTCAATTGTTTTGATTTTTAGATCCCACAAATTAATAAGAACATGCAATTTTTGTTCTTCTGTGCCTAGCTTATTTCACTTAACCTAAGGACCTCCAGTTCCATCCATGTTCTTGCAAATGGTAGAATCTTGTTCTTTTTGTTGGCTGAATTCTGTTGTATACATGTACCACATTTCCTTCATTCATCTGTTGATGGATATGTAAGTTGCTTCCATATCTTGGCTATTGTGAACACGGCTGCAACAAACTTGAGTGCAGTTATCTCTCTGATATACCGATATCCTTTCTTTTGGTTATATACCCAGCAGTGGGATTGCTAGATCATATGGTAGCTCTATTTTTAGTTTTTGAGGAATCTCCAAACTGTTCTTCATAGTGGCTGTACTAATTTACATTCCCAGAAACCGAGGGTTCCCTTTTGTTCACATCCTCACCAGAATTTGTTATTGCCTGACTTTTGGATAATAGTCATTTTAACTAGGGTAAGGTGGTATCTCATTGTAGTTTTGATTTACATTTCTCTGATGATCAGTGATGTTAAGCACCTTTTGATATGCCTGTTTTCCAATTGAATGACTTCTTTTGAGAAATGCTTATTCAGATCTTTTGCCCATTTTTTAGTCAGATTATTAGATTTTTCCCTGTGGAGTTGTTTGAGCTCCTTATATATTCTGATTATTAATCCCTTGTCAGATGGGTAGTTTGCAAAATATTTTCTCCCACTCTGTGGGTTGTCTTTTGTTTATTGTTTCCTTTGTTGTACAGAAGCATTTTAACTTGATGTGATCCCATTTGTCTATTTTTGCTTTGGTTGCCTCCGCTCGTGGGATATTACTACTCAAGAAAATTTTGCTCAGACCAGTATCCTGGAGAGTTTCCTCAATGTTTTCTTGTAGGTGTTTCATAGTTTGAGGTCTTATATTTAAGTCTTTAATCTATTTTGATTTGATTTTTCTATAAGGCAAGAAATGGAGTCAGGTTTAATTCTTCTGTATATGGATATCCCATTATCCCAGAACCATTTATTGAAGAGACTGTTTCTCCCCAATGTACGGTCTTGGCACCTTTGTTGAAAATGAGTTCACTGTAGGTGTGTGGATTTATTTCTAGGTTCTCTATGCTGTTCCATTGGTCTATATGTCCATTTTTATGCCAGTACCATGCTGTTTTGGTTACTATAGCTTTGTAGTATAATTTGAAGTCAGGTAATATGATTCCTCCAATTTTGTTCTTTTTGCTCAGGATAGCTTTGCTATTCTGGGTCTTTTGTAGTTCCATATAAATTTTAGGATAGTTTTTCTATTTCTGTAAAGAATGTCATTGGTATTTTGACAGAGATTGCATTGAATCTCTAGGTTGCTTTCAGTACTATGAATATTTTTAAAATATTGATTCTTCTAGTCCATGAACATGGAATATCTTTCCATTTTTATGTGTCCTCTTCAGTTTCTTTCATTGGTGTTTTATAGTTTTTATTGTGGAGACCTTTCACTTCTTTGGTTAAGTTAATCCCTAGGTATTTAATTTTACTGGTGGCTATTGTAAATGGGATTCTTTTTTTTATTTCTTTTTCAGATTGTTCACTGTTGGCTTACAGAAATGGTACCAATTATGTACATTGACTTTGAATCCTGCAACTTTACCAAATTTGATTATCAGTTCTAATTGTTTTTTTGGTGGACTCTTTAGATTTTTCCAATATAAGATAATCTCATCTGCAAACAAGGACAATTCAACTTCTCTTCCAGTTTGGATCCCCTTTATTTCTTTCTCTTGTCTGAATGCTCTAGCTGAGACTTCCAGTAATCAGTTGAATAATGGTGGTAAAACTGGGCATCCTTGTCATGTTCCAGATCTAAGAGGAAAGACTTTTAGTTTTCC